TAAAACGATCTGGCGTTAAGCACGAATTTCATTAAAATCAATGAAATATATAGCTCTAAAAGAATGAAAAGAAGCTGAATAATCACGAAATGACGATCTAATTGAAAAACTGATTTGAATGACACCGAATGAAATCTTTTTGGGAAACGTATTACTCCAGAATTTTTAGATCAAACATTAATTAAAGGAAGAGCACGCGCTACGCAGTTCAACAATGAGGAATAAAATAAAATAATTCATAATAATAATTCATCGGCATGTTGATGTCGACTATATCGCCAATGACGCATGAGTCACCACTCCGCAGAAACTGCATGCACAATTTCGGGTGATTCAAAAACCTAAATTTTCGAATTTCAAAATGCTTGACCTCAGTGAAGTTGCTACTTTGAATAAAAATAAGGTTAAGAAATTTCAGAAGATTGTGCCATCACTCTGAATTTTCAGATATCTAAATATTTTAGTTAAATTTAGATTTTATTAAATTAAGCCTATAAAAAATCTATTTATTTTTTGACTTGAGATTTCAATACATTCATATTCTATCCAGCAACATATAAACCAAAATTCATTTTGTTTCATCGATGTTAACAGGTTGAACATCCCAATAAACAAAATAATTCGCTCCTCAAAATCGCCTAAAAGACCTTAACCTGCAATATTTTGAAGTGAAGTGTGTGTTTTTCATTTTTTCATAAAGACATTTTTCTTCTTTATCTAACCCAAACTTCTATAATCAAATGCTTCTCTTCATTTACGATCCAGTTATTCTAATCTTTCAGACAAGACTATGCCCTTACTGACACATGTGACGTGTGGCCCATCGACTTAGTTGACTGAGTGAGTTATTGACGAGTTGGTGGACTTTTCGTTCAGTAAAGAACTTTTTAGGCCTCATAGGCATCAATCACGTATAGTCGTGACAGCACTCCTTTTGCAGATGTTTCGAGTATTTCTTTTAAGAAATTTTGTAGCTGTAGCATGAAGCTACGATGAATGTTGCAGAATAAAGTTCATAAAGTAGTTATGATTATTGTTGATTTACAAAGTTCTGAGTTATTTGGTTATCGAAAGGCATTTTATGGCTGCAAATTGAGGCTGAATGTAAGGCTAGCTTTGTACATTAGCAAATGTCGATGGCCTCCTAAGTTTGCACCACTCGAGTAATAAAAATGTTCGCTCAGAACTTATGCTATAATTTTATCGCGCGCAAATGAAAATATGTAAATATTTCTACATTATTTTGATGAAAATCTGAACAAAGCCTCTCAAATATTGTAGCGTTGATAGAATGTCAAGAATGTACACGGCAGAGCTAGCGCATTTTATGAAATTATTTCATCCGTATGATTGATACGGATGATGGCAACGTAGAAAAAGTGAATAAACTAGAAATATTTAATAATGAAGCCATAAGCATAAAATAGTAATGCTTTTGCCTTGCTGTAAGCTATTGCAAGGAATTCATTCAAAAAGATTCTCAAAATGCAGTCTAACTAAAATTATTTCATTCACGTATGTCATGAAGAATTGACTCAAATTTTTTCTTTCGATTCATCACTCGAATTTTTTAATAGCATCTTGAGGAGAATGAAGCTGAAATTAATTGTTAATTGAATTAATCAATTCCAGGTTATCGGTTTGTGTTGTATTTGTGGTTGTTTTTTGTAACATAAGGTATTAAACAAAGAGAAATTTAGCTAACTCGGGTTGACCCGGAATTGTTGACATTTTGCTTTTTTAAATGTTTATTAGGGGAATCTTATTGATGCGTACATACAAATAGAACGTTTTACTAGAAATAAATATAAAACTATCTGGCGTTAAGCACGAATTTCATTAAAATCAATGAAATATAGCTCTAAAAGAATGAAAAAAAGCTGAGTAATCACGAAAGGACTATTTAATTGCAAAACTGATTTGAATGACACCGAATGGAATCTTTGGGCAAATTCTTACTCTAGAATTTTACGATCAAACATTAAAAAAGGAAGAGCACGCTCTACGCACTTCAACAATGAGGAATTGCAGACATTCATCGGCATGTTGATATCGACTATTGCCAATGACACATGAATCGCCCCTTCGCAGAAACTGCATGCACAATTTAGGGTGCTTCAAAAACTAAAATTGTCGAATTTTAAAATGCTTGACCTCATTGAAGTTGCTACTTCGAATAAAAATAAGGTTAAGAAATTTTCAGGTCGATAGGAAAAGCTTTGCTGGTTGTACCATCGATCTAAAGTTTAAGATATTGAAACATTTTAATTAAATTTTGATTTTGTTAAATTAAGCCTATAAAAATCAATTTATGTTTTGGCTCGAGAGTTCAACACATTTATATTTTATCCAGCGACATATAAATCAAAATTCACTTCGATTCATCAATGTTAACAGGTCTAACACTCCAATAAACTAAAAAATCTTTTGTTTTTTACGTGTATTACAATACACACCGAAATGATAATAATTTAATAGGTACTTCAGATAGAGTAATTATCTCTCAATTTCATTCCAATTCATTACAATGAACGTAGAATATACTAACATATATGACAATACCGACATCCTAAAATCCTAAAAAGTCATTAAACTTCCTGTTTAAAGGAAGAAGCCTCCTTTACCTGATTTGTAAATGGTTCAGATTATATATTGAATAATATATGTGTTTAAAAATTGCTTTTTAAGGACAACACTTCTAAAGAACCCAGTGTCTTTGATGTTACAATTAACATGTACAATGAATTTCTACTTTTATTTTCGAATATTGAATAAAAAAATTATTTTCAAAGTTTAATACCTTTATAATATAAAAAATGTTATAACTATTTATTCTGTCAACTGATTTATGCTTTGTCTGTGACTTTATGCAACTGTGCAAAATTCCAAATTGATTGGGCAGGTATTAGTGTGTCAAATATGGATTATAAGATTTGTAGCAGAGAAAATTAGTTGTAAATTTTTGTTAGTATATTTTTTTATAATTGTTTATTCTGTCACTTAATTCATGCATTGTCTCCAACTTTACGCAAGTGTACAAAATATCAGATCGATTGGAGAGGTAGAAGTGTGTCAAATATCGATTATAAGATTTGTAGCAGACCGAAAAACAAAAAAGAAATGAAGTTAAAGAGAAGTGTTGTAAAAACAGGAGGGAGGGACATATATGGAGAAAATTGGAAAATTCTCATAAAAAGAATAAAAGAATGAAAAATCGTAAAAAACGCTTCTGGAGTCGATAGATATTTTTATTTCGAAACGAATGATATTTCTTTCGATGTTGTAGTGCGTAAATTGGAGGAGGAGATTTATTAATGAGGGACCCTGCTTTTTGGCCGTTTTCTATGCATTTCACGTTTTTTTTAAATTTATATGAGCAAAATGTTTTTATTTTCGTGATTTATATTCGTAATTAAGTTTCGGAAAGATCGGGCATATAGTTCAGGAGGGGAGGTGACTCCCTCTTTAATAAGCCCCGAATAAAAACGATCAAATTTATGCACGTTACTAAAATGATCTTAACAATAGTAATATCAAGATACCAATGATTGAAAAATATGACGAAAATCAAAACAGCAGGTCATAAAATCAAGAACGCAAGTCATATTTATATTAAAAAATTAATGGGTAGAAATAGAATCGTAAAATTTCGTCTTTATAACAGATTTGGAACAGATTTGTGTGAATGCGCGTAAGCATGCATGAAGAGAACATCGACTCATAAAAGCCTTTATCTCGGGAACGGGCATTCATGAATTTAAGCTCGTATAACTATCGTCAAGTCTTAAAACTTTATACTGCCTATATACTTCTTTAGTCTGTGTTAATGAAATATTGTTGTCGTAATATCTAATCCTAAGGATTGACCGGAATGAATTAGCAATTTATGTGAAATGCAATGCTCCATTGCACTTTTTGAAATGCAATGCTCCATTGCACTTATTTTTTTTATTGTAATTTGCATTGTAATCTACGAGAATTTCTTCTTTTTAAATCCCGATTTCTCATCATATCATTATACCGGAATAATTTTTTTTGCAAATTACGGTACGTGTTATGAATGGAAGTGTTGAATACCTTCATTTTGTGTACTAATTTAAATTTAATTGAACGTCATCATGCCATGCTCGAATTGGTGTTCTAAGGTCTTCGCTCTACTCTCTTGCCAAGATAACGTTTCATTGCATTGTATACATGTCAAAAATTTCATCCTCGACGTACAATCTATGTTTCAAAGTTACGGACTATGGAGATTAGCTAATTTTAAAGGATGACGTGAGCTATCAAAAGTGGAGTGATTAAACAATGAAAACGGACACAAGCATGGTCTTCCCTACCGAAGTATTAACCTATAATTTAAGTTATGAACATAATTTTCACTGTAATTTTAAGTTTGTCGTATAATTTTTCAACGCGATAACGTATGTATCGTTAAGCAATTCATGTTTTAATGCAGCGACCGCTATTACAGAACATAATTAACGGGTTGCAAGCGCTGGGAAAACTTTGTTCAATACTTAGTTCAGTTCAAAATATTCACAGAGATCCATTACATATCTGTTATTAATTTAGAATCAAAGTTTTGATCTAATATATGCTCGAGTTCAAGCTTACTCCAGTCATCTTCATATTGGTTGCCCCCATGTGAGTATTATTGAAGTATTTTGGAGCTCCTGATCCAATTAATTCATTTTTTTTCAGTTTCTCTCGTTAACAATCAGAACTTCCAAAGATGCTACGTGCACGGCGTTTGAATAAATGCACGCGAGGTTTTGTTTTACGTGCAGTTCGAGCTGTTATAGGCATTCGACACAGGGTCCTATAGTCAATGGCATTCTTACAAAGGGTAAAAAGTTTCTCAAGTGAAAAGTTCAAAGTTTGTGTAAATTCATAAATATTAAATTCAGAAGAGCCATTCCAAGTAAATATTTAACAAACGTCAAAGGGAAACGTCAGTAATAACTTAAGTATTCGAGTGAACAAAAATGTATTCAGCTTACCTTCTACTGACAAATATGAAGCAGAATGTGATGAGCCACCTTCTTTGTTCAACAGTTGACTCTGTTAAGTGAACGCAAATCCGAGAAGGTGATTTCTTTTATACCATGCACTATTGATTGTACCAGAGCAATCACCCAAATGCAGTAAAACATTTGGCAATATCCCACAAAAATATTTGACATCTTCAGAATTGCATGTTCGACTGGCACCAGTGATGAAAAGTTGCAATCAGTTTTACGGACAAAGTTCGGCCTCTGCAACGACTTTATACCTCTAGTCATCACTGCCAACTCGTACTATTTTGCGAACCCAGACAAAGCACGCTCTCTGAGTCACGCAAGTTTTTGCAATTTCTCTGATCATAAAATGGAATAAGCGCCTCAGGTTGAAAAGAACGACATTTACTTACATTTGGTGTGTCGAACTTGTACGAGCACATCCGAAGTTTAACGAGTGGCAGCGCTCCATAACATGCAAGGAGCACTACAGAGTACAAACTTCATCGCTTATTTGCGATGGATCACGAAAACTTAACATGGTCAGACATTCATCATGTCGATGGCGAACCTTGAAATATCATCGTTCGTATTTCATGTTCAGGGACGTGTAAAAATTAAATAATTCAAAGATGAACTTAAAATGCTATTTGCTACTACCACCAGCCAGCGAGCGCCGTTTGATAGCAGGTCATGGGCGATTTCCAATAGTAACAGAATTTATCGCAACAGCGCCACATAACTCAAAACAATCTAATGCGCTTGAATTTCATCATACTGTCTTTTATATAGGACTTGAAACCTTTTGGTAGGACCAGAACTGATGAGCTCAGATAAAATTCAGTCCACAACCATAACTACCCTAGATTGTTCAGCAATTTGAAAAGTCAGTATTTATTTATCTTGTTTACCTTATGATTATGTTATTTTATATTGTTTATGATTTAAATTAGCTTCAATTCTGGGTCCAATTGTTCATTTTTTGGTTTCAGAAACAGTTACAATAATTGAGTTTTCATTCTAGACAATCCTTCAATCAAAGAGCCACATTATCTCTAATCACTCTAAAATCTGAAGTTGATTTGACAATTAATCAGCCATTGTTGCAGTAGTTATTTTCTTTTTATTGCCCTCCGGCATCGTCGAATATAACGAATGAAAAAATTATGCTTGTCTGGCGGAAAGATTAATTATTCTCCTTGAAGTTACCAATCGGAAATTGAACAATCAATATTGCTAACTCAATATCAAGTTAAGAATTTCCTTGCATGCATTGTGAGAGGATGTCATCCGTTCATGCTGTTCTGTGGTCAATCGTAGTTTTTAAATAAATATTCAATACAAATTTACCACCGGGGAATTTTCATCGAACAGTTGTTAATTCTAAGCTAAAAGTCGTAGATTTAAAAACAATCGTGACGTTCTTATTTCGGTATTAGTCAACGGAATTTTTCGTTTTGGAACTTGATTAGAGACTCCAAGAAAGAAACATGTGAACCTGTCTATTCTAAGCAACAATTAAATTAATTACTTGTTTTAAAACAAATATCTGCAATTAAATTATTGCGATCTTTTTGGTATTGGTAATTTTTGGTATTTGTATAATTTGGCAAAAGTTGTTTCTTTCGACAAGTTAGATCGAAGACCGTGGAATGAACAATTTTTTTTCGACTATGTTTCTCAGGCTAAGGTACTCGGACTATGAAGATACCCAGTCTCTCAGGTTAAAAATACGATCTTGTTTGGGTCATTTCAACCTCACCGGATTTTGGCAGAGCAGGGTCATTGCAGGACTACTTCATTTCTTGTCATATATTTCATTGCATTATTTGAAGCTAACCATTTTCACACATTTCAGGAGTAGATGCCAATTGTAACAACAACAATTGCAGTTGTAGTTTTTTTAGAAATATTGAAAATACAAAACGTTAAACGAGTTTTATGCGTTGCGAGTATAGCTATTAACTATTTGCGGGACCAAAAGGTACAGTTTCTACGTAGGCATGACAGTATTTTGATGATATATTGAGTAACGTGTGTGTAAGCTTTGGAGAGTTTGGGTGACCCGAGGGCATTGATCACACGTCTCGCAGGCAACGAGTCAGCAAAAAAAAAATCGAAGTAAAAAAGATATTTTCGACTTTAAATCACTGTTTTATGACTCAGAGGCATTTTGTTTTAGACTCTATGTACGAGTTTTTTGTTTATTTACGCATGTACATTTTTCGAATCAGTTTGCAATTAATTATCACGACACAAGGTACTTTTACAATAGTCTACAAGAAAAGTTTTTTGTAACGCGCTTTTTTTCGGAGGTAAACTAATGTAACACGGAGAGGATATTTCTCGTATACGTTCCGTGCACAACATTAACTAAATTCTCTACGTACACATGAAAATTCCGGAATACAACTTTTCGATGCATGAAACATATTAATTTGAAATTTTTATTCATTGTTTTACTTAGTTCAATAAAGATTTGAATCTTTCTAAAATTCCCGCAACGTAGAGCAAAACTTGAATTTGTTCATTTTTATGTACCTTTTTCATGGAGTTTATCGAATTTACTATCATTTTAATAGAGATAACAATATTATATAATTCACTGTAACATCAGTTCAGTCAGACTTTCGCTCATGATACCTATGATGAAGATCAAGTTTTCGGGATCAATGCAGGATAATAAGGGTTCGTGCTTTCCATGCCAATTTTTTGGATTTGCAGGTATGAAGTGATTAAATTTATCAAATATATCGCTAATTCAAACCTTTTCGACATTACACTTGTAGTAAAAACTTGATTTGTCCCATGATTGAGCAACTTGTACTGTAAAACAGCATCATCTGACAGTCGGAAGCAATTCTACCCGTTTTATGAAGTTCTGTTTCTGCGAGACAGCTTGAGTTGCGACGTAGCACTTTGGATTGACTGGATATCATTTTTTTTCGCGAGAGGGGAGGGAGAGATTTCAGTACATTTTCAGTAGAGCATAAACCCTCGTGGATCTTACGAAACGAACCTAATCCAACACGTCCAGAGAAATTATTACATTCAATTTTTATAAGAATTTGCAATATGTTCAACATTTGGTCATTGTTTCAACTTGTTCTTGCACGCACGCATTCATAACGGCTTATTGGTTAGTCGTTATGAATTTTTATTTAAACCTGAGTCCATAAATAATTCAGAGAACTTCTGATTTAGAATATTTTTAACTGTTCATGAACACAAACCATCAAACGATGGTCTTCGATGCAAAATGAATCTACATTTTGTTCTAGTCTGATCACAAGCAGTTATGGCCTGCTGGCTGCTGCACGCCAGAGAGAGCCGGCAGTGCGCAAGATCACCCACCCACTCCCTTCTTCTACACCTTGATTTTTCCATGATTACACACAAATATATCATTTCATCGATCACGTCATAAATGAATAACGTTGAACTTGAATAACAAACAAGATGCTATTTATTTTAATCAATTAGCATTTGTAAACGAATGTGTGTTGTAAATTATCCAGTCTCAACTTCTCATTCAAATCAAGGTGACGCATATAATATAATATAATATAGGATAGCGATCAACCAAAGCTGAAAGTGTATTTCAGTGAGGTCGTTAAGCTAATTTTTTAAATTTTCCACAAGGGGTTTCACAAGTTCATGTACATGACGTTTCAAATTGGTTTAGGAAATTGACACTCAAGAGATATTCTAAGAGAGGTATAGAGTATAGACTAACGCAACCGATCAAATTGGTTCAAACTTTTTTATTATTACTATTCATTAAGCAATTCCACGAATTATCCGATAACTTTTTCAACCTTCAAAGGTTTTGTCTTATCCTCCCAATTTGGAATCATTAATTAGTTCTAAGAAATCTACCAGGAAACCCGGTTCAATACATTTTCACTGGACTCGTAGACTCTAGTCGTGTTATGCAGCGCTGTTTGGCCCCGAGATTCGAGTCAGCTGAGTCGAGCAACCGAAGAGTTTGCTTGATTATTTCAATTATAGATAGACCATATGTCCTTTTCTCAGAACGCCTTCAAGGATAATAAATTCGAGTTGTACAACAAAGTTGTATTTTTTTGATGTAAATAGAACAGTAGAAAGTTTGCTCAACAGTTGAGTAGAGTGTAGTCATCTCTCTGCAAAGAAGAAATTTGGTATTATATAACAAAATAAATAAACAAATGAAAACAATCATAAAAATACTATAAATAAGTACTAAGGAAGTTGAACACGTAAACTTTCCACGAATCCTCATCCAATGACGAATCATTGATAAAATATAATCGATGTTAGGGGAGATAAATCGACTGAACAGGAGCGTGTCATTAAAAAAATTTCCAAAATATAAAATTCAGTTCTAACCCTTCAATTAACCCTAATTAGTAGGAAACTTAAGAAAATTAAATTTCCATAACATAAAATGCAAGGCATTGAATTCTCGTCCATTACTCACCCCTTCATTGTATTCCATAATTTTTCTTTTGATAGCGGAACTGTCCACCCACGTGATGTAATCTTCCAGAGCTCTGCACGAAAGTTGGATCAATATCGTACCAGGAAAAACGCAGTTAAATCTTTTACTATGAAATCACTATTCGATACAATTATTTATTAATATCATCCAGATACTATCTCGCTTAATTTATCAATGGCATATAGATACGATCTACTCTCTGAAATATAGTAAATGACAACAATGAATCCGCACGACGAAGCGTTAATTTCTTGGGTAAAGAAAACGGCAGAAGAAAAATTGTAAAATCCGTGGCATAATTTCAACTGTGCCCTCACCTGGAGACCAGAAAAGCGGGGTCCGTAATAACATCCATGCCAACCCTGACATGACCGTGCTTTATTAGGTTATTAGCAACAGATATTCGCTCCACCATGCCGTTCTTGACCATCACGCACCCCAGACGTCTCCGACAAAAAGATGAAGCTGAGGTTTTGTCAACAAGTTCCAAACTTCCTTTCATTGGAATTATGCCGATAGAATACATTTTCTCAATGCACTTTGCTGAATATTCATCTCTGAAAGGATCATCTTTGTCCAGGTCTTTGATCATTCTCACCAGATCACGTGCTTTCCTGGATAATTTGTTGTAAAGAACATAATCTTCTCTTCTGTCAATGTTGTAATTCCTTAGTGCCTTTGCTTCGGGAATGTTATTACTCACTTCCCAGTTGAAGAAGTCAGTGTGCTTCAGGAGCTTTTTCTCGGAATATTTTAGCTTACGCATTTCTTGGGCAAAAAGTAATTAAAGGTGACAAAAATTTAATTACACGTACTGTCAAAGGATTCTATTTTTGCACTTGCAGAAAGGAACACCTGCCAAGAAGTAAAACACAAGATAAGATTGAGTACAATAAAAGATCATCCTAGGAACAGAATCTGACTGAAATATTCAATTCCATGTCAGAGGTGATTGGTAAGTTTAACTAGCAAATATTAATGAAATGATTTATAACAGCTTGGTTAAATGCCATAAACATAAAGAAGAGGCTAGGAACAATTTGGAATTGCAGGTGCAGCCTGCAGGCATAGGTAAAGTTGCCTCTCTCAGCCTACAGCTTGGCCAATAATAATTAATAATGAACAAAGTTATAAATAAAATAAAAAAAAACAGGGCAGAAATCATACCTAATGCCTTGAATTTAAGGTTATGGCCCTAAACCTTCAAGTAGTCTGCAAGTAAACCTTTATTCGTAATTCTGCTTAGCCAAATAATGTTTCCTGCAACAGTCTATTTGCAAAGAAAAAAGCACTACATATACTTAATTATAACTTCAAACTTGAAGCTAATTTTTCCTTTGGAGATGATGAGGTGACAACTATTGTGTTATTTTAGCTTAGCTAGAGAGCATTCTTCATTTGTCAATGGACTTAAATGTACAAACAATTTGAGAGCATATAGGGTTAAATTTTTATGAAAATTAAAAGAATTGAGAAACAGCTATACTTCTATATCCTACCTAGAGATATTTCCTTTTACTTCTAAATTCAGGCCTGAAGAATCATAGTTCCTGCTATTAGACAATGTCTGCAACACACAAGTTTTCCTGTCCCAAAGTTACTCCCTTATATTAAAAAAATCATCCAGTGATTGAAATTCAATGAAAATGGCAATTACTGCAGCACCAAAATTTTTAGGCAATGCGGCATTCTGCTGATTTAAATTCCCTTCGATTCTACATACCTACTATGTCAAAAAAAAAGGTTGATGTGTGCGCAAAAACGATTTGTGGAGAGCAATAAAACCTTCCTACAGTGGAACTGCCAATTTCATCTCAGGACACCTTGTGGGCAACTCATGTTTAGATAACAACAAAGGAATTTAAAATTATACTAATGCTATCTTGTTTATTAGGAACTTCACATTGTATACTTGCGCAGCAGATTTTTTTGTGACTGTTACCAACATGCACAACTGTATTTTTATGAGTGTTACCTCAATGAGTGAAATAAAAGTTGTATTGAATGGACTTTTGCTAATGAAACTTTTTCTTTTATTTAGATCACTCATTGTCAATGCTAAAAATTTCCATCATTTTTTGATCTATTGCAGTGCATTTTTTTCAAGTGAAAAAATGGCATGGTCAAAATTGTATCCAACAGCACCATGCTGCTTTGATCCAATTTGTAATTTTTTTGCAATTACTGTGTTAATGCGGCAACTAAAATGATTTCAAATGTTATAGGCAGGGTTGGTGATTTTTTTATTTTTTTAAAAATCAAAAAATAAAAAATCAATGATTTTTTAATTTTTTCACAATTTTTTATTTATTTGATTTTTTTATTTTTTCAGTTTTTTCATCTCTTTGAAAGGTTATTTATTATGTTGCAATTAGCCTACTAACAATAACAATATGTAGATCATAATGGATGGCTAAAAAGGGCACTTATTGCCTTCAATAATGGCCAAGATGGTGTTTACCACTTTGGAATTTTTGGGTAAACAATTATTGATAAGTCTATTCATTAGCTTTGTAAAGTTTGTATGGAGCAAGGTGACAAGATAAATATTGACCATTTAACTGGCTTCAATATGCAAAAACACTTCAGGAATGCAGATCTTCTAAACATTGAAGAGTCACACAACAGATACAGAGATAGGTAGCTGATAGCACAGTGCACAGCACTATCAATAGATTTACTAGTTTTATGTCCTATAAATCTACCAGACTCTACACTCTAAACACACCAACTAGTAGTGACTGAGTGACTGACTGCACTGTTCCAATTTAATTCAGACAAATAAACCAATACTAAACATAAACTGAACGATAACCAAACAAACCTCAAACGAGTCTCAAGTTAAGAAAAAAGCTAACACTGTTTGACATAAACATGTGCATAATTCAAACATTTTATTTCCATTCACTGCATTTAATTATTTTATGTATAGTTTTATAATTGTAATTGTTTTGTTTCTAGTTTTAAATTCACATATTTGAAGATTGAAATTAAATATTTTAATTAGAATACTCATATTAGGGTGAAAAATCTTTCTAATTGCCTAAATCTAAAAGGTCAATACAATCTCAACCTCTCGATATACTGGGTGGGGCAGAACTGATTGAGCAGATTTGAGGCAAAATAAAAGAGTAATGGAGGTACATAAAGAAGAAAGTTTATTTTCATAGAGGTTAACATAACATACCATTTAGAATAATTATGTTTTAAAAACAATATCAGGAAGATGGTGTCTGTTAGCTGCAACACACTGTTGGAGTCATTCTCAGAGGAGGGAGTAAAGGGAGTAACCGTGACAATGAATTCCGATCGCTATGCTGCAAAATTTCTTGCAGCCCATGATGGAAAACATTGTTGAAAATGAAGCATTGGGAGACCTGTGGTTAGAGCAGGATGGGGCTACAGCTCACACAGCCCGAATGTCACTACATGTTTTGAAATGCATGTTTCCCAGACGTCTGGTGTCGCTGAGGGGTGATTTACAGTGGCCTGCAAGGTCACCTGATTTGAGCATTTGCGATTTCTTTCTTTGGGGACATCTAAAAGAAAGGGTGTTCAAAAGTTGCCCTCACCCTACCACAGCTAAGGGGACAGATTATTGCAGCAGTGGTTATGGCCATACCTCGCCATATGTGTGAACGTGCTGTAGGAAACTTCCGAGAACAACTCCAACAGTGTGTTGCAGCTAACAGACACCATCTTCTTGATATTTTTTCAAAACATAACTATTCTAAATGGTATGTTACCTCCATTACTCTATTATTTTGCCTCAAAACTGCTCAATCAGTTCTGCCCCATCCTGTATAAGCTAGCTAACACATTTAAATTGTATATTGTAATATATACCCAGTATAACAAATAGTCAAATAGTTAAAGACTGCTTATAGCCTTATAAGAATTAGCTAAGCTACTAGCTATGCACAATGTATTGCAACACTTGATGCCTCTGTACCAAAAAGCATTCAATTTATTGGATCCTAATACACACTAAAGGCAACAAGTTTATATATTAATTTGTCATTCATAGTACATTCATACTAAACCATGAATAACAAAACCTCAAAATAAATTAAAGACTGTCACTCAATATATTTAAATATATGAAAAAATAAAAAAAAATAAAAAAATTTAAAAAATCATGACTTTTTTTTTAAAAATCAAGTGATTTAATCACATGGTTTAATCATTTTGATTAAATCATTGCCAACCCTGGTTATAGGGATATAATTTTTTAAATTTTCACCACTATTTCTAAAGTTGGTTGTCTTTAGAAACGATAAACTTGTTTCTTCAAAAGAGAAAATATATTAGAAATGAACTACCAGAATGGGATTGTCTTGCTTCATTTTCTGAATCAGCTTCAACACAAGCCTGTAATATGTCTAACCTCTGAGGCCTAACAAGAGCTTTCTGCTATTTTTGGAGCAGCAAGATTCCCACTAGACAAATTACAAATTATTGATAAAGTGCACAATCTGGCTGCAAGACTACAAATTTACTTAAAATATATCACATTGGAGCTGCAAGATTTTAGTAATAAGTAAGAAAATTTCAGTCTAGCAGAGACAGAGCATAAAATTATGGTATAGAAGTTAATAGTAAGTAAATAGTATAGTATATGTATAGTAAAGAGGGAACTTTAATTAATACATGAGTGTATTAATTAAATTAATTAATACACATTAATTAATACACAATTAATTAATGTATTGTATTATTAATTAAATAATAATACAATACATATTAAACCAGTCCAGACTGGACTTATGAATGAATTCTTCTGGCTGCAAAATGACTAATTTTCTACTCATTTGCAACCTTGTGACCCAGTCATAAACTTTTTAATAATTAGATGGGAAGTAATTAATCTGGCAAGAATCTAGCGGCTCCTAAAATGGTGTAAAAAGCTCTCATTGCAACTCAAGAGGTAGATATATTTTGCTCCAGAAACCAATCCTTGCTTTGTTAGCTTAGCACAGATCTAAGGTTACTGAGCATGCTATATTGCATCAGGTGAGGAATGGGATTTTAGTGATAAGTAGAAAAATTTAAATCCTCTATCGTATGGGCTCTGCGTGCAATAACTTTCCAAGTTCTGTAGAAACAATAAAGTAGCTCATAGGAAAATTAACCAATTTTGCAGCAATATGCAGATATTCCTTCCAAATCCATCTACAGACAGCTAAGTATGGCACAACACAACATAGGTCAAGGCTGCTTGGGAAAAGTTCTACTTTTTTCTGAAACCTTGCAGCTCTAATGTCATGTATTTTTGTTAGATTGAAGAAATTGCAGTTCACAAACATGTCATTTTATAAAATTTTTAACTCCCACAGTAGGTACTTAGTACAACACTCTCACCAAAATATTCTGCCTAACAAATCAACCCAAAACATTTTGTAGGAGATTGCATATTTGTGGTCACATTAGTCTCTGCTATCACGTGTTCAGTTGCCTCTAAAGTGAAGACAAAGGTTATTTTTGCTGTTTCTAGGATAAAATATGATATTTGGGGTAATACGTGCACAAGACTCTGCAAATGAGTTTGTGGTTCATAAATGGCTCTTCACGGCCAGGATATGGGATTCATGGCTTAAAGAAATTGGATCACAGCTTGTAAATCCATAAACAATGGCTCAAAAAATCCTGTTGTGGTTCATTGCTCAAAGAGTAGATATTTTCCTCACTAGGGTCAAGGATGCCAACTTGACTGCCTCAAAAAAAAAAAAAAAAAATTGGGTACAAACTGTACAATCAAGGTGAATGGCATTTACCAATTATGCTTCTCCATAGATCACAACTTGTAAATCCATAAACAATGGCTCAAAAAATCCTGTTGTGGTTCATTGCTCAAA